GAGGATGTCTCGAGCGGTTTGCTTGTTTGGGGGGCCAGGCTCGTCTGCGCTCAGAGCCGATTCTGAGGATGTCTCGAGCGAGGCGCGGATTTCAGCACCCCCAAGGGGGAGCTGCCAGGTGATATTGCACGGCTCCCGTTCGCGCCAACATGACAGGGATTTCTCGAGCGGTTTGCCTGTTTCGGTGCCACAACTTTCTCCGCTTTCGGAGCAGATTCGGAGCATGTCTCGTGCGAGGCGCCGGTTTTCGCACCCCAGGGGGCCCAGATTGCGAGGATATTTCGAACGGCCTGTCTGTTTTGTTGGCCAGACTCGTGGGCACGGATCCTTCTCAGGATGCCACAGGAAGCTCCAGGAGGTTCCAGGAGGCCCCAGGAAGCCACACGAGGCTCCAGGAGGCATCAGGAGGCCACAGGAAGCCCCAAGAGGCCCCAGGAGGCCTCAGGAGGCACCAGGAGGTCCCAGGAGGCTCCAGGAGGCCCCGGGAAGCACCAGGAGGCACCAGGAGGCCACAAGAGGTCACAGGAGGCCACAGGAAGCAACATGAGGCAACAGGAGGCCCTGGAAGGCTCCAGGAGCCCCCACGAAGCCCCAGGAGCAGGAGGCCTCAGAAGGCCACAGGACTGGCTCCAATCCCAAGTGTTTCACGTATGCTCCTATAGATTGTCCTTCTCCTGCGTCTCCACTCCTAAGTGTTTTACATATGTTCCTATAGATTGGGCCTGCCCTGGGGCACGAGTCCGTGGTGCTTTACGTGTGTTCCTGTAGATTGCTCCTCCCTTGTGGCTCCAATCCGAAGCGTTTTACGTCTGGTCCTGTCAATTGGGCCTCTCCAGGGGCACGAATCCTCCCCAGGAGGCCCCAGGAGGCTTCAGGAGGCTCCTGGAAGCCCCGGAAGGCCACACAAGGCTCCAGGAAGCCTCAGGAGGCCACAGGAAACCCCAAGAGGCCCCAGGAGGCCCCACGAGGCTCCAGGATGCACCAGAAAGCCCGAGGAGGCTCCAGGAGGTCCCAGGAGGCCCCAGGCTCATGCGCAGAGACGCGCTCGTACTACTGAGACTCGTTCACACTCCAACTCATTCACAGTTAGATTCACTCCCAGACCGTCAATACTCAAGCCCGCTTATGTTCGAAAATTATTGCGCCTAGACACTCACGGCGGACAGGTCCATGCTAATAGATGCACATGTGGGGAGCTCCACGCAGTGAATAAAGTTATGTCATGGTATGATATGATGTGGTAAGGTGTGGTATGTATGCTACGCCATGGTATAATATGGTATGGTATGGTGTGCTAAGTTATGTTGTTATGGTATAGTATGTCATGTGATGGTATGTTATGGTACGTTATGCTGCGATGCAGATTTGGAGGATGTCTCGAGCGATGCGAATGTTCGCCCCCAAGAGGGAGCCGCCAGAGGGTATTGCACTCCTCCGTTCGCGCCAAGATGGCGGGGAGCAGGGTGCCTGTTTTGGTTCCCAACATCCTCCGCTTTCGGAGCAGATGTGGAGGATGCCTCGAGCGAGGCGCTCATGTTCGCCCCCAAGTGGGGCCAGATGTTGAGGATGTCTCGAGCGGTTTGCCTAGTTTGCTGGTCAGACTCGTGGGCACGGATCCTCTTCAGGATGCCACAGGAGACTCCAGCAGGCTCCAGGAGGCTCCAGGAGGCCACAGGATGTACCAGGAGGTATCAGGATGCCACAGGAGGCCGCAGGAGGCACCAGGAGGCTCCAGGAGGCCCCAGGAGGCCCCAAGAGGGTCCAGGAGGCCCCAAGAGGCCCCAGGAGAAGGAGGCATCATAAGGCCACAGGAGTAGCTCCAATCCCATGTGTTCACGTATGCTCCTATAGATTGGGCCTCACCTGGAGCACGAATCATTGGTGGGTTACGCACGAATCAATGGTGTGCTACGTGTGCTCCCATGGATTGCCCTTCTCCTGCGGCTCCACTCCGCAGTGTTTTATGTATGTCTGTTCATATAGATTGGGCCTCTCCTGGGGCACGAATCCTCCCCAGGCGACCCCAGGAGGCTCCAGGAGGCCCCAGGAGGCCACACGAGGCCCCAGGAGATCCTGAGGCCACAGGAAGCCCCAAGAGGCCCCAGAAGGCTCCACGAGGCACCAGGATGTACCAGGAGGCCCCAGGAGGCCCCAGGAGACCCCCTCATGCGCAGAGACGCGCTCGTAATACTGAGACTCGTTCACACTCCAACTCATTCACAGTTAGATTCACTCCCAGACCGTCAATACTCAAGCCCGCTTAGATTCGAATAGTCTTGCGCCTAGACACTCTCGGCGGACAGGTCCATGCTAATAGATGCAAATATGGGGAGCTCCACGCAGTGAATATGTTTCGATGTTCTTCTTAGTATTGTTACTAGTATTAATTAGAAAATAATAATAATAGTAATAAAAATAACAATACTAATAACAACAATAATAATAATGACAATAAGAAGAAGAAGAAAACTAATGACAATATGAATGATAAAAACGATAACCATGATAATAATGATACTAATGATAATAAAAACATTAGTACTAAGAATAATAATAATGATAATAATAACAATAACAGTATGATTAATATTATTAATATTAATAATACTATTAGTAGTAGTATATATATAAGATAAAACAATATAAATTTTGTTTGTGGATATTTAAAAAAAAAAAAAAAAAAAAAAAAAAAAAAAAAAAAAAAAAAAAAAAAGTATGATTTCGCTTGTTATTATTACTATTACGAATAACACTACTAGTATTATTATAACTGCTACTAATAATAATAGTATCGTCATTATTAGTATGATTCCTAGTACTGATAATATCCGCACTACAAGTATTAGTATGAGTAGTATTATGAATATTAGTATTATGATTAGCATCAGTATCACCCGTATTATGATTGACAATATGATCCTTGGTATTGCTCGTATTCTTCATGTCGTCCTCGGGCAGAACACCTCGCAGCGTTGGCACGATCTGGCCCCCTGTGGTTGTTGCAGCTCGTTGGGCCCACGGCTGCAACCTCCAGCTGCTGCTCGAACCCGCCCCCGTCCTCCATGTAATGGTAGTCCGCCGAACCCATGGCTGTTACCACCTGCTGCTCGGACTCGAAGAGGCGCCCCGAGAAACCGAGCACGTTTGACTGAAAGTGGTCGGTTTGGCGCAGTGGTTACTTGTGGATGTTGGTTGAACGGAGCCAGACGCCAAAGGCGAAGTTCAGGGTGCCCCGAACATAGCCCCTGCCGATTCTTGAGCTGCCGTCATTGGAATCTGCGGAATCAATAGATGCGACCAACGACTGCCGCGCGAACTTCTCAGTGGCATCCGCCTTCTCGGAGCTGGACTCGCCTGGGTCCCCGATGAAGTGTTTCTCAACCTGGAAGTGGTCCTCCAAGTAGCCCGCAGAGCCCATGGCTGATAACACCGACTGCTGCGCGAACTCGTTGCTCTTCTGGTAATTCCCTGCTGTCGCTGCCGTGGCACCGCCGAGGTCTTAGAGAAGCCCCGGACCTGGCGCGAGCTCGATGACGAGCTCGAAATGTATCTCGAACCCACGAAGAACTTGTCCACCCGCTTGTCTAAGAGGCAACGATCGGGGGGGGGCCTAGCATACGGGGTACGCATCGACCTAGAATCGGCGACACATCGCCGATTGGCCCCCGATAGTGAATCCGCACATTTCAAGACAGGGTGGGCTATCGGGCCCCTAGCGGCGATCAATGGGACATTTGGGGTCGATGCCTCCCCCCCTATGCCTAGGAGGAGGGGGGAGCTTATTAGGAGGCTGCTTCTTGCAAGGCGCCGGCCATACATCTCCAGAAAGGCCCGCGCCTTCTGAGAAGCAGGGGCGCTTCTGAAGAAGCCCTCCCCCCTCCCGCGACCCCCCATCCGCGCGTGGCTGACAGGCCCCGTCGAGGGCAGCTCGGGCGGGAGCATCACCTTCAGCAGCAGCGCCACCTGCCGCCGCTCTGCAGGCTCGCGGCCTCTCAGAACCCACCCGAAGGCACCGCCGCGGCTCGGGGCAGCCGCGCACCTTCCAAGTGCGCTGGCCAAAAAAAGACCTTAAAAAATACGTCAGAGATCCTATTATAAATCCTTGGGAGGGGGGGGAAGAGGAGGAGGAGGAGGAGGAGGAGGAGGAGGAGGAGGACAGGGGAGGAAGAGAAGGGAAGGAGGAGGGAGGGAGGGAGGAAGGAGAGAGAAGGGAGGGAGGGAGGACAGGACAGGACAGGACATCCGCAGAAGGGGGTCAACGTCAACACACCTAGACTGGTGCCTTGCGCGCGTCTGGTGAAATCCCCTGCGATTCGGTTGTGCAACGGCCCTGACGTCTCACTGGGGCTGGCCGGGGGCACACCCCGAAGCTTCAAGGGGTGAGCTCCGGGGTGGCCCGGCAAGAGAGGCTCGCTGCCTTGTGAGTACGAGTCCCTGCGGGTCAGTGCGGGGTGAGGAGCTGCTGGCCCTTCCGCGTTCCCTTGGAATGGGGACGCGCTGGGCGAGCAGGGCTCCCAAGCTAGGGGGGAAGAGACGACGACACGACCACTCAAAAGGAGAAGGGGAGGAGAGTCAGGGGGCCAATGCTTACCAAATTTTTGCTGGGGGCTGAATTATCCTACTGGAGGAAGTAGGGTAGGAGGAAAGGAGGAGGGAAGAAGGAGGGAAAGAGGAGGGAAGGAGGAGGGAAGGAGGAAGAGGGAAGGAGCGAGGAGCAACGAGCGAAAAGCGAGGGGCGAGAGTTGGCGGACGAGGGAGCACGAGGCCCCAGAGCAGCCGGGAGGAGGCCCCCGAGATCGCCCGGGCTGCCCCCAAAGGGCCCCCGAGATCGCCGACGGCTCTGCGGGATGTCTCGGGCGCCGCGGCCTTCTCAGAGCGTTCCGGAACGCTCTGGACCGGACATGGCCTCGTCCCGCCCCCGTCCGAGCGACGCCGCCCGTGCTGCGGAGGGTCCGGGCCGAGGCCCCCCCGAGGCCCCCCGGCGGGCCGGCCCAGCCGTCCTGCGGGGGGTCCAGGCCGGGGTCCAGGAAGAAGATGGCCTCGCGGGGTGCGGGGCACCCACGGAGGCGGGGGCCGCGGTCGGGCAGAGGGGCACGGAGGCCGGGGAGGTCCCACGAGTGGAAGTCCGAAGTCACATGCCGAGCTTCCTCGAAAGACGACCGTTGAGACCGCCAACCGGCGTCCAAGAAGACCCCAGGAAGCTCCCAGAAGCCCAAGAAACTGAGGAAGGCATGGATAGACAACCAAATGCGAACCGTATCCCTGCAAGTCAGAATTTTGGACAACCAGGGACCTGAATTTGAATATGAAGGATGTCTGCAGCCAAGTGACCCACAGCGAGGACGTCCGATACCCCAGCGTCGATGGGACATGTACACTGGGTACGCCCCTCCTCCCTCCTCCTCCTCCTCCTCCTCCTCCTCCTCCTTCGCCTCCTCCTCCTCCTCCTCCTCCTCCCCCTCCTCTTCCGCCTCCTCCTCCTCCTCCTCCTCCTCCTCCTCCTCCTCCTCCTCCTCCTCCTCCTCCTCCTCCCTCCTCCCTCCTCCCTCCCCTCCCTCCTCCTCCTCACTCCTCCCTCCTCCCTCCTCCCTCCACAATTACTCAATATGAATACTACTCTCCCTCTTCCCCTGATGACGTCTTGGGAGTAGCCGACCCCCCCCCCGCCTACTGTTTTCTTACACACAGGTTTCCCCGGAGTTGGGTTTTCGCCTGCATTTTTTCCAAAATGCTGCTCTCGCTGAGGCGCCGGCCTCATTTTCGGGCCCCGCTCGCTCCGAATCGTGCTTCCGCTGCAGCGCTGGCCTCATTTCCGTCGGCGCCCTGGCTGCGCGCCCGAGCCGGCGCCCGGGCCGGCGCTCGGGCCGGGTCCGGAGCCTGTTCCGGCCGGCGCCAGAAAATCGAGTTCCGAGGCGGCGCCGAAAAAAAGCCATTCCAATACACATTGTTCTTTTGAAAATTCTGAATTTCCGCTTCCAGCGCCCGGGAGGCCTCCCATGCCGATTCCGACGCCCGGGCCGGCGCCCGGGCCGGCGCCCGAGCCGGCGCCCGGGCCGGACGCCCGAGCCGGCGCCCGCGCCGGCGCCCGGGCCGGGTCCGGAGCCGGTTCCGGCCGGCGCCGGAAAATCGAGCTCCGAGGCGGCCGAAAAAAGGCCATTCCAATACACATTTTTCTTTTGAAAATGCTGAATGCCTCCCGGGCCGATTCCGGCGTGCTTCCGCTCGTTCCGAATCGTGCTCCCGCTGCAGCGCTGGCCTCATTTCCGCGCTTCCGCTCGTTTCGACTCGTGCTCCCGCTGCAGCGCTGGCGTCATTTCCCGTGCCATGCCACGGCATGCAATGCAATGTTAGGTTGGTACTACGCTTCGCGGTGCTCTTCTACGCCATGCCACGCCGTGCTCTACAATGCATCGCGTACCCTTTCGGGATCATTGCCCTGCTCAACATCCGATTGTACGAGTAGAGAGGGGATCTGCCCCATGGTAAGGGATGGGAGGGAGGGGTAGGATGTCAGACATGGCGCGAGCGCACCTAGCTTGTCCCTCCCCCCTCTCCTCCACTCTGGATAATTGGTTGGGACAGTGGTGCATTGTTGCCGCCAAACTGGGCGGCCATATCTGCCACCGTGTTCCAGGCACGAGTTGGCGTGTCCTGAAATATTTCCCAACCATCCTCTGGTGTTGGTCTTCGTTTTGAAGAGACAGTCCCCGCGACGGACCCCGCGTTCCCTCCTTCCTTCTTTCGTCCTCGCCCCCCCCCCCCCCCCTTCACCGCACGCATGCGTCCGCCACCCAACACAGCGTCTCGTTGCCCCATAAGGGGGCTCCACCGACGGCCCCAGTGGCACCGCCCGCATGCGTTAGCCACCACCCAGCACAGCGCTTCGTGGGCCCATGAGGGAGCTCCACCGACGGTCCCAGTGACACCGCCCGCATGCGTCAGTCACCACCCAGCACAGCGTTTCGTGGCCCCATAAGGGGGCTCCACCGACGGCCCTAGTGGCACCGCCCGCATGCGTCAGCCGCCACCCAGTACAGCGCTTCGTGGCCCCATGAGGAGTTCCACCGAAGGTCCCAGTGGCACCGCCCGCATGTGTCAGTCACCACCCAGCACAGCGTTTCGTGGCCCCCTAGGGAGCCTCACCGAAAGCCCAAGTGGCACCGCCCGCATGCGTCAGCCACCACCCAGTACAGCGCTTCGTGGCCCCATAGGGAGCTCCACAGACGGTCCTGGTGGGACCGCCTGCATGCGTAAGCAACCACCCTGTACAGCGCTTCGTGGCACCACGGGGGAAATCCACCGAAGGTCCCAATGGCACCGCCCGCATGCGTCAGCCACCACCCAGTGCAGCGCTTCATGGCCCCATAGGGAGCTCCACCGACGGCCCCAGCGGCACCGCCCGCTTGCGTCAGCCACCACCCAGTACAGCATTCGTGGTCCAACAGGGAGCTCTACCGAACGCCCAACCGGGACCGCCCGCATGCGACAGCCACCACCCAGTACAGCGTTTCGTGGCCCAATAGGGAGCTCCACCGAAGGCCCCAGTGGCACCGCCCGCATGCGTCAGCCGCCCCCCAGTACAGCGGTTCGTGAGCCCATAGGGAGCTCCACCGAAGGCCCCAGTGGCACCACCCGCATGCGTTAGCCACCACCCAGCACAGCGCTTCGTGGGCCCATGAGGGAGCTCCACCGACGGTCCCAGTGGCACCACCCGCATGCGTCAGCCACCACCCAGCACAGCGCTTCGTGGCCCCACAAGAGGCTCCACCGACGGCCCCAGTGGCACCGCCCGCATGCGTCAGCCACCACCCAGTACAGCGCTTCGTGGCCCCATGAGGAGCTCCACCGAAGGTCCCAGTGGCACCGCCCGCATGTGTCAGTCACCACCCAGCACAGCGTTTCGTGGCCCCCTAGGGAGCCTCACCGAAGGCCCCAGTGGCACCGCCCGCATGCCTCCCCCACCCATTACGACACGTCCCTCACGCGCTTCGTGGCCCCATAGGGAACTCCACCGAAAACGGCACCCGCAACGCGTTACTCACGACTGCAAATGGTTGGGTCCTTCGCCCGGATAATTTGAGCCCTCAGCTTCCGAGACGGGACCACTGGAGCTGCACACAGTACCAAGACGATCCAGGATGCGACGTGGCGACGAAGACGCGGGCAAACGCACACGATGGGCCGGCGGAGAGAGAGAAGCGATTAATTATCTTACACAGCTGTGCTCTAGAGCTCGGACATCTTTATTATCTTGCACAGCTGTGCTCTAGAGCTCGGACATATTTATTTTCGCCGCTCTAGAGCTCGGACATCTTTATTTTCGTCGTTCGTCGTGTCGTTCGTCCCCCTCGCCCCCCCCCTGTCCACGCTTCCCAGGGTAGCCCCCCTGGGCCACGGAACCCTTTATTTTCGTCGTTCGTCGTGTCGTTCGTCCCCCTCGCCCCCCCCCGTCCCCCTCGCCCCCCCCCCTGTCCACGCTTCCCAGGGTACCCCTCGCCCCCCCCCCTGTCCACGCTTCCCAGGGTAGCCCCCCTGGGCCACGGAACCCTTTATTTTCGTCGTTCGTCGTGTCGTTCGTCCCCCTCGCCCCCCCCCGCCCCCTCGCCCCCCCCCCTGTCCACGCTTCCCAGGGTACCCCTCGCCCCCCCCCCTGTCCACGCTTCCCAGGGTAGCCCCCCTGGGCCACGGAACCCTTTATTTTCGTCGTTCGTCGTGTCGTTCGTCCCCCTCGCCCCCCCCCCTGTCCACGCTTCCCAGGGTAGCCCCCTGGGCCACGAACCCTTATTTTCGTCCACGGAACGGACCCTTTATTTCGTCGTTCGTCGTGTCGTTCGTCCTCCTCGCCCCCCCCGTCCACGCTTCCCAGGGTAGCCCCCCTGGGCCACGGAACCCTTTATTTTCGTCGTTCGTCGTGTCGTTCGTCCCCCTCGCCCCCCCCCCCCTGTCCACGCTTCCCAGGGTAGCCCCCCCTGGGCCACGGAACCTTTTATTTTCGTCGTTCGTCGTGTCGTTCGTGCCCTCCCCCTGTCCACGCTTCCCAGGGTAGCCCCTCTGGGCCACTTTTATTTTCGTGTCGTGTCGTGTCGTGTCGTTCGTCCCCCTGCCCCCCCCCTCTGCCCCCCCCGCCCAGGCTTCCCAGGGCAGCCCCCCTGAGCCTCGGACACCTTTGTGCAAGAGCCAGGGCACGCGTGCCACTTGTTTTCGTCGTTCGTCGTGTCGTTCGTCCCCCTCGCCCCCCCCTGTCCACGCTTCCCAGGGTAGCCCCCCTGGGCCACGGAACCCTTTATTTTCGTCGTTCGTCGTGTCGTTCGTCCCCCTCGCCCCCCCCCCGTCCCCCTCGCCCCCCCCCTGTCCACGCTTCTCAGGGTACCCCTCGCCCCCCCCTGTCCACGCTTCCCAGGCTAGCCCCCCTGGGCCACGGAACCCTTTATTTTCGTCGTTCGTCGTGTCGTTCGTCCCCCCCCCCTGTCCACGCTTCCCAGGGTAGCCCCCCTGGGCCACGGAGGTACTCTTGGCCAAGGCCTAGAAACAAAACCAGGCCAGGCCCCAGAAATCGTCGTCGTCGTCGTCCTCCTCCTCCGCTTTCTTCCTGGATCCTCCTAAACCCCTCCTGGAGGAAGGAGGCGAGGGCATCCTGTCCTTCGCAGCTCCTTTGTGCAAGAGCCAGGGCACGCGTGCCACTTGTTCGGCGGGCCCCCTGCTGGCCCGCCGAGGATGCTGGGGAGCATGCAGGCAAGCATACTAAGGGCGGCCTCGCGCTTTCCGCCAGCCCCAGGATGGCAGATGTTATCAATTCTCATGGGGGCACGTAGAAATACAAGTGAAACGGGCTCCCAGAGCTGGGCCCACACGCGTGACAGCTCCTGGAACACGTAAAATTACTCATGAGATGCGCCCTCAAGGCTGCGAAAGCTTCGTTTCGGAGTACCCCTCACGCATTCCCTCCCTGATATTATCCTGGGACGCGTAAAAGTACGAATGATCATTTCACTCATGGCTACGACATTGCCATTTCGGTACACCCCTCACGCATATCCTG